AACTATATGTTAAAACATCTAGACATCGGAATAGTTTTTTCCCTTGTGCCATTGCTCTGTTAAATACCATATGACCTGATATGTACTGGACAGTGGCTTTTCCCCTTTGAAAAGTTATTTTACTGGGGCCGGGTTATTTTTTCTATTTATTAATTTCCTGTGGCTATCCAAACGCACCATTGATCTTGCTGTTTGTCACCGAAGACAAATTCCTTATATATATTTTATACTTGGTCATTAAAGTATTTTGTATTTGTATTGTATTTGGAGCATTCTATACCAAGGAAAATTCTGCCCAAAGGAAGTAGCAATATGTTTGGTTAGGCTAGTGAGAAGAACACGAGTCTTGCTCACTCAGAACATGTGAGCTTTGCAATTCAATAATTACAGTTAATTACTTTTTAAAGAGGGCTTTATTGTACAACTTGTTTTGTAGCAGGATACTTGAAGATGTAAAAGAAGATATTAATTGGCTAGTGCAAAACAGCTTAGATTGTATTTGGTTTTCAATTAAGATTATTACCATATACACTGCTCAGGAGATAAAGTTTCCAGATGAATCATTCAAAGGTTGATGTTCAATCCTGAGCCACCTTTAGTACTTCAGTCTTGAAGAATCCTTGGAATTTAAAATCAGCCAACAACAAAGGAAATAAATGCTTTCTGCTCCCAAACGGATGATTATAAACACATCCCGTTGGCAATCAGAGTGATAGTCTGTTTATGAGTGAAATGTTAGGTTTTATATCACTTTGTCATTATTGTCTGTTATGGGTTATTTAGTTGTTATTTCAAAGAGACTGACAAGAAAAAATAGTGGAGAAGGCAAGAAAGGGAAGTGGAAGATCAGGAAATTGAGAACTTGTATTTTGGAATGGTTTTCCTGTGGTGCAGCTGCTGGGTCCGGAGTTGACAAAGATAATGGTTTGGTCTCATTGGAGAATCACTAGCAGGTGGCTGGGAGTTCATTCTTTCTAGAGCAGGAGGAGGTTAGTCTTAGTGTTGGAGGGAGAGGGACCTGGAAGGCCAGAGCATCTATCCAGAAGTGATTTCATCCATTAGTGATGCTGAAAGGGCACCCTTGGCAGATCAGATTGCAAAATCCTGCATAAAAGGTCACTAGGTGTTTGCATGCAAATGTGGAGCAAGGTGGCCTGACAGAGCCTGACAGAGATTGAGTTTTACCTGGACCCAGTTTTGGGCCGAAGAAAAAAGTCACAACAACAAAATAGGACTATTAGAGGGACAACAGGAAGAAAGTACTTTTTTTCTTTTTGTCATTGTTCTGTCCATATGAGGGGTGGGGGGTTGGAATGGAATACAGGGAGTCCTTGGCTTACGTCCATTTGTTCAGCAACCATTCAAAGCTACAGTGGCGCTGAAAAAATGGACTTATGACCAGTCCTCAAAGTTCCAGCTATCACAGCATTCCTGTGGTCACATGATCGTGATCCGGGCGCGTGAATGCTCGGCTCGCGATTGCAAAGTCGCAGTGAACTATGT